AATTCCTCAGAGCTAAAATGGGAACTAACTGAACTCCCTGATTTCTCAAGGCCGTCCTTTAACTAAGGAGACCTACAAGCAGCTTCTTCTGGGACGCCCCGAATATGGTTACAGGGCACTATCCCTTAGTGAGGCACTCTGCAAAACTGAAAACACTGCCTCCACAGTGCTTCCAGCTCTTGCTGCCACAGAACAAAGGGCACATTTAAATCCAATTTCCAAAAATAATAAAAAAACGCAATAAAACAATACAGTGTCACAAAGCTGTGAATTGCACATGTTGGCATGGTGTATAGGAAGCATATTGCGTTGGTACTAGCGCCGTAACTGCCCTGTGGGCAAAGATCTTCTGTATCCAGAATGATCCACCTAAAGCTTTCCTTGAAAACAACTCCCTCAAAAATCAAAGCAATATAAAGAAGTGAAAGAAGAAAAAAAGTTTTCCAAGGCAAATCTTTCTCATTCTGCATAGCAAATACTCAACTCAGTTTTCCCTGCTGTCTAGCAGAAAGGAAGGACAAATCAATTTGTCTAACCTTCACTCGACTCCTCGTCTTCCTCTTCTTCGTCTTCATCTTCATCCTCGTCCTCCTCGTCTTCTTTGTCCTCAATCTCATGATTTTCCTCAGCCTCAATCTCTTCTTCACTCTTTCCCTTCAGGAGGGCATGGATACGCACAGCCTCTTTCCACGGCACACCACCCAAGTCTGAAGGGGGCTGCTGAGGCAGCAGTAGGTCATCTTCTTCCTCCTCATCCTCCTCCTCCATCTCAGACTCTGAACTACTGTAAGGGTTTAGAAAAAAAAGATAAAGAAACAATCAGTTAATTTTTCCTAGATCAGTTTTAGATCACTGACAAGTTGTTTCAATACACACAAGTCCAAAACGTTTGATGGAAACCATAATACTGATTTTCTGCTCTCAATATTTCACAGGCATTTTAGTGACTGCATCATGTGTGAGCTGCATCATGTATGGTCCTTGCCCTGCTTCTTTTAAAGAAGATGAAGTGGCAGGAAAGTACCTGTGAAGCCAAGTCGAAATATTTGTGCAGCATTAATTGCTACAGTTTGTGACAGTTGAATACAGCAGAAAGAAACTGCTTTCTTCATATCACATTGCTTTGGATAAACCAGTGCAAGAGTTCTTGGCAGTGCCAGAATGTAGAAGGTGACATCTTTCGATAAAGGCAGCTACTGCTAGCATTTTGGATAGCTAGGATGTTTTTGGCGCTTGCTGGGCTGAACCACAGAAGACTGAGGGATTAGAAAGAACACAACACAACTACCAGGCCAAAGGATACAGCATGTGAGCTAAGGAGAGCTGGAGAAAAAAAATAAATACAAAATTCCTCACTTTTCTACATCACAGACAGAACTATAGCATACATCCAATTAAGCACACACTGTACATAGTGGCAAGAAACTGTAGGAAGAAGTGCAAGGATAATTACAATAATGAGGTTATTATTCTCACAGCAAAGTCTAAAACATGCAAACCAGTAAATCATTAGTGCTTTTTAGTAGATGTCTCTGTTTAATTCTAACAGTTCTCAGTATAAGCAGCAGGGGCAAGAAATGTAACTGCATATACAGTTGACATTTAATCTAGGTCACTCTTGCATGCTGGGCTACCTGGCACTGGGGAGAAAGATGGTTGCATTTGTCACTGGAAAATGAGTGTGAACTACAGCACCTTCAGAGAACATATCTGCAGGGTGAAAAGGTCCTTTTCCTTTGTTTTTCCTTAATAGATCGCTGTCATAAAAGAATTGCAATAATTAGAGGAACTGTTGGATGCTTCCCATATAAATCTTAAATGGCCCAAATTCATCTGGATTGAAGGAGAAAACTGTTTGTGAACGGTTAAAGTTTGGGTGAATCATCTGAGAACAGTATTCCACTTCTGCTGCTTCCTTATGACAGCTGTCGCTGTAGCTAACAGCCTTTGGCAGAACCCATTCCATATAGACAATGAGAGGGAAAACCAACAAGTTGAAAATAACAAAGTTTAAGTTCCATGTAGGTGTATAATATATAACTTGTACAGTTGTAATTCTGTTTCCCATATACAGGTTTTATTACATGTGTATGTGACAAACTGACAGTTTCAAAAAAAAAAAAAAGCTATACGGCAGCACTCATATTGCAGATAAACATATTCAGGTGCAGAACTTCAAATTAGTCTGACACTACATGAACATACCATATTTACATAATTTTACTCTTGCCTGAGAGTCTATTTTTGATAGCAAAGCTAACAAGGAAAACACCATTTTTTTCATGCTCTGATTGTTGCATACTTCTGTCCATAGGCTCTCAATTTTTCCTCACTGTTCTGCATATATATAACATTATTTTGCTCAAATTACAACCCACTTTTTCACAGCATAAACTGAATACCTATTTTTAACAGGTTACTTGATTTTCATATGCTAAATACTGAATACAAACGCTGTTGCAGGCCACGGATGCAGAGCATGTTCCAGGAGACCAAAGCATATTCCAAAGGCTTTACGCAGATATTGTCACAGAGATACAAAATCATATTCCCCTCCTCCCCGATTAACTTTCCCACCCTTTGGTATGGAAATAAACCTGACAGGTGCTGCATGCTGGGGTTTTTGCGTGCTGTCAATAAGGTTTAATGCTGCTCAAACTGTTGCCATGACTGCTGAATGGGACGAGCTGCTGCTCTTCAACCAGCCGGCTTATCGCATGTAATATTGACGACATAAATTCTTTACCACATAGCTCACTTTACCTTCTTTGGCTTTTATTTATAACTTGGTTTTTCTTTGACCTTTGAATGCTGAGAAATGAGAAGCTGAAAGACAGCAGAGAGATGGCCTGCTATAGTGGGCATTGCTTTTGGCATGGCAACTCTGTGCCACAGGAATTAATTCAACAGCTGAAAGGTTTTTTTCTCCTATAAAGCAGAGATCAAAGACCAAAGTAGGTTGCTTTATAGAATTTGTATAAGCAGTTGAATATCTCATTAAAAAGGTGTACCTACACAGATTTAGTGCAGAGGAGAGGAACCGAAACCTAAACTGTGTAAATGAAGCTACTCTCTTCCCCCGGTGCACAAACCCACACAGCTCAAAAGGCCACAGGGTGTAACTCCAAAACTGCAGGTGACATACTGGGAGTTACTGGAAGTTAAAGGGGATGAATAAGGCATCTAAAGGGTTTTCCACCCCTCTAAAACTGTGCAGTCAGGGTTTGGTTGCTTAAATGATTTTTTTCTTGTTGAAGCTTAAACAAGATTAACTCTTTTTTGGAAACCTATACTTAGAATACTGTTTTCTGTAAATTTTCTCTGCAGTGTGCATGCTCCTAACCGTGTACGTGATGGGAAGCTGCGCACCAAAATGCACGGTCTCTGCTCGATGTAGAGTTAACAACTCATTGAACCTTGAAGCCCATCGCTCTGTAAGACACAGAGGGAACAAAAAGTTCCCCATCTCCTCCACCTGCTCCTAACCCTGCGGCGCTGCACCAAGACAGTGAAGATGATCAAATCAGGGCTTTGGCTGGCTTGTTGCAGGAGTCACACTTTTTTTCTTTTGTTGCTGAAAAAGCAGTCAGATTTTTTTTGTGGGGCTTTCTATGACATGCCATGGAGTGGTAGAGCTGAACAGAGGATACCTGATAGATACATCATCTAGAAAATTCTCTCCCTGTTGTTTGGCCCGCACAGCCTTATCAATGCTCTGAGTAAATTGCTTGCCATATTTGGATTTGGGACAGAAATTTTTCCAGGTCAAACTGGCAGGGAATTCGATGTACTTTCTCTTTCCTCTCTATCATAGAGTGCGAGTTGCCCACTAAAAACTGTTTTTCACATGCAAAATTATACAATTCAGTCTATTATAGACAGAAATAGTCAGTTTAATACAGGTTAAGGAAAGTAAGCGGGACAAAGGCAGGTAAATGTATCACCCTACAGGAGGAAATCAAACTGGCTAACCTAATAGTGTACTGCCCTCAAGCTCCACAATCTCACAAAACACTTCTTGGAGATGACCAACAGCTTCATGCCAAAATGCCAAAACTCCGCTTTTTTTAACTTAACTCTCCTCTTTTTTTGGAAGTCTTCTGCCATTTACTGAGCAGGCCTACTGTGTCCTGATTTACTGAAGTCAAGACCAATAATAATAATAATACACCATACTAGTAAACTTTGTTTTAGAGCTAGAAACATAAAAGACTCAAACCCCCTCAATATCATTAATTTCTGTAATGTCACAGCTGATATAATTCCTAGACCTGAGCAGGGAGCTAAAGGAAGGATGAGGGAAGCAAACAGAGTTTGCATCTCCCACAAACAGTCCTGTGATTATTCAACCAGAGCACTAGATAAGATCTCTATTATGTAAAATGTCAAAATAGTACCTTCTAAAGAAATTAATATGTTAAGAAATTAATCAAAAAGTCTTATTTAGGCTTCAGAGAAAACAGCTGTACAAGATATTAGCAACTGCCAGGCTCTTATATGAAAGCCACACCTTCATGAATCTACATGTACACACTCTCTGTCAAGGCTGAATTCAGGCTACAAAAGTTACTCCTTTTCAGATGCTGCATCTTCAAACTCATCAGATAAATAAGTGACAGATTCTGTACTACATTAATCCTGTAAATGTTTTAATGGACGTTTTTATTCCTGCATTCTTCGCCACACCATCCAATTCAATTTCACATGTATAAATGGAGTAAGGAATCTCTCATACAGCCCTATACCTGTAGGTGATGCACACACAGAACATGTTTGCAGGATCTAAGTCTCAGGAAACCAGTAACAGCATTTGCTGAATTTGTTTCAAGAAGACTACCAGACAGATGGAAAGCTGAAAAGGTAAGGGTTGTTATTGCTACGAAGAAAAGTAGATGATTAGAAACCACATTAAGAGATTGAGACTCTGCAAAAAGCATGTGATCGACTGTAAAGTTCACAAGCATTCTTCATCAAGTATTTTCTCTCGATGATTCTTGCAACAACTATTTCCAGTAGCTCTACCTGGGTATATTTGGATCCTGGTGTGCTTATACATTATTTTGCAGATAAAGGGAAATCTGTGAAGGTACAACATGTTTTCTAACAGTCATTACTACTACTTCAAATTAGTATCTCTCAGGCATTGCATCAGCATTCAGTCAGGATTACATGTGTGTCAAGCTTGAATCTTTACACCAAAAATGTTTTTGAATTGTAACGCAAAACATACAGAAAAGAAGTTAACTTTGGAACCCCCTCCCATTTGAATTCATGTTCTGTTTGCTCAAAAGACTCATGTATCTTTGATACAGTTTAAAAAAAAAATGAGAAAAATGCCTTCAAACTTAGGACTGAATTTCACAGTGTTACGGTATTGTAGGTGTCTTCTAAGAATGGTTAAGAATGCCTTCTAAGCTCTTTAGAAGAACAGAAACTAAAGATAAAATACCTGTTTACACACACAGAACACTTCTTCTAGCAACTTTAGACAGGGCAACCTGGTAAACTATGTTAAGAAAAGCTAATGGAAAAGCAGGCAAAAGTCTGTTGGGATGGGTATAAAAAAACACTTCTGGACAATGTGTGCTAACCTGCTGGGCACATCCTCTTCTGTTCCTTTGTCCAACACACTGCTCAGGTTATGCTCTGCTAGCGTCTCTTCAGGAACCTCTTCCAGTTCTTCTTCCCGCTGCAGTGACAGTCGGTAGTTCTCCAGCTCAATCCGCTCAGGCGTCCCACGCAGCCGCTTTGCAAGGCTGGGCTCTTCCAGCCCATTTACATTAGAACCTAAAGAATAAGCCAGTGAATAAACAATAAATGCAACAGTCAGAACTATAATTTTTTAAGGAAATCGAGCAACTGGGAGAAACAGGGCATGAGGCAAAGGGAGGTAAATAAAGCGAGAGAATACCTTATGTCATTATCCTGTTCGCCACTACTGGCAGAACCTGCTGGGGAGCCAGACTGCAAAAGGGAATCTTAGTGGTTTTGGCTAATAGATGCTAAAAAGAATGTTAAATGTCCTAGTTGAGAGAGGAAATAAGGATGTTTTAGCTGCGAAAACTAGAGCTGCAACCAAGCCTATGTAGTAAGTACTGGGGAAGGCCTGACCACAGACTGCATTTATTCTATGAGACAAAGGTAGGAATGCTACGGGGCAATCCTGCTGCGTAATGTTAAAATTGTTACCAGTTGAGGTAGGTCTACAGAGTCAGGGAGCAAAAAAATATTACTACTACTTAAAGATGGAGAAGCAAGGGAATGAAAAAGGCCCTCCCGGAAAAAGTTTTAAAACTTTTTATAGACTTGAATTAATTTGCTTTTTAATCAGTGTTTGTGATGAAATGAACCACAGGGAGAAATCTAGGTGAGATGTTTGCAAGTACAAATCCCATGAATCCCAGAAATTGCAAGGACACGCGAACCTGGCAGTTGTAGAAAATTACACAGGAGCTTCATTCACTGTGGCACTCAATGAATTAAATTCTAACCTGCATTCCTCCATTTCTTTTTGAAATTCTAGTATTTTAGCTTAAATACCACGCCACTGTTTACCTTGGCCCAGCTTACTATTTACAGAGCCCAATCTTTCCTAGCTTCTGTTTTGCTTTGCTAAACAAGCCAAACCTCCTTCTCATGAGATAAGCTTTTCAGTGTGCTGATCATCCCCTAGGTCCCTGCACCTGTCCCAGTTCGGATTAATCTTTCCAGAACCTGCGTGATTAGAATTGAACACAGCTTTCCAGATGAGGCCTTATCAGCGTAACATACAACCCTGCCAGAAATCTCTCATCTGATACACACTGAAAACACACGTGCCTATTTATATGCCACATAATACTGGTGGCTTTTATTTACTGAGTGATACTCAGATCTTTCTCCTTCTCTGCTTTCAACTGATAAGCACCTTGCTGGTAGCCAAAATTCTCAACACTTTCTTAGTGCATGACCCGGTACTTTCCACTATTACACTTCTATTTTTAATATTACACTCTACAACACTTTGCAGTTCTTAGTGTATGACATGCCTATCCTCCTCTGCACTGATGAGGGTTTGAAATGTTGCCTCAGCAATGAATTCCATTAGCAGATTTTTTTCCTTTTTTTGCTAGTAACCTTAGTGAAACTATCACAAAGATCAGTCCCCAGGTAATTTTTTGTGAAACTCCACAGTCTGTAGGTGACATCCAACCCCACTATTTCCTTTTTCAACAAACCCCCTACCTCTCATTAAGTCAACTTCTTAGCTTACTTGACACTTCATGTACTACTCCCTCATTTTATCCAGTTCAAATAATTATTTCCATGTGGCAGTCTTCAGGTGCTGTACTGAAGTCCAGACTGTTCAAATGCAGTAGGTAATCAGTTACTTCGTCGATAAAAGCTGTCAAGCTAGTCCGGCACAGTCTTTGGTTAATCCATGTCACATTTTACAGCACTTACCTTCATAAGGTCAAAGGACTTCACTTGCAGAACTAGCAGTCTTTAGTTACTCCTTCAAAGAAGGTGTTTTAGCTACTGTTTAGATTAACTGATATGTACTTCTGTCACCCAGTGGTCACATGGTATTACCCTGAATTAGATAGTAAAGGTACATCAGGATAGCTTGATTTAATCACAAATTGGTACCACAAAGCTCACAATTTCATTGTACAATTCTTCCACTCTTCTGAAAGAGAGACTATTTGGTCGAATTTTATTTCCACTCATTACAGTACAGTAATATTTACATTTTGCTTCCAGCTTCATTGGGTTAATTTCCATTTCCAAGTCCTGCTACACACTGACTTCTTTTGCTCCCATGTCCAATGCCATTGTCCCAAATGAAACTGGAGGCCAGGTATTCATCTGATTGCCTGACTACATGTAAAATTGCATTTTATGTCAGCCTTCACTGTGGACCCACTTCTTTCCCTTACCTTGCTTTTACTTCCATACTTAAGGAATACAGCTGTTTGCTTTCCTTTCCTTTGCAAAGTCTAACCCAGCACGAGCTTGGGCAATGTTTGCTTTACCCTCATGCAGTTTGACCTCCAAGACAGTTTTTGTTTTCTTTTTCCATCCTTTGCAGTTTCTCAGTTTATTCCTAACAGCCTTTTGTTCAGGGCAATTACTCACTCAGCACCATCTTAGTCTTTCACACAAAACTACACAGGTCTTGCCATAATTGGTGGCATGTACTTCCAACCCCCTCCAGAAAGAGAAAATCTCATAAAGGCAGCTGCCGGGAGTGTTTTTCTCTCTTCCTTAGTATTGCTGAACCCTTCTATGATGTGGGCAAGTGGCTGCTGTGCCCTCGGCTGGAACTACAGGGCTGCTTTATGGTATAAACCATAAAGCTTTGCTCAGGTGGCAGGTGGGAACATTACCTTGCATTTCCAGGGATACTGTGGTCTCTACCATTTCCTGCTGCTAAGCCTTATGTTGTGCTAGTATTTTCAAAGTTTAATGGAACTGGACTGCCTTTTCAGCTGGGATTCACGTTTCATTTCATTCTCTCTAGATGGTGATACCACCTCAGCCAAATCTATTTTTGTACTCTGCGTTACATTCCCGAACCCTGAGTTCACAGTAACAGGGGAACTGACCTGGAATATTGCTCTGCCACTTCTGGCTGACAGTGAAAAACCAAAGGACTCTGGGTAATGCAAGAACACCAAGGTGAGAGAAAACAAAGAAGGAATATACTAAATTATCATAAAACAAGAGTTTTTCTACTTGGAACTCTTTATACACCACAGAGCCATCAGCTAGGCTCAGCTACTTCAACAGAAATGTCTTTTCACAAACTGTTTTTAACTTGTTCTCTTCTGATGCATACCCCGACATCGCTGCAAAATGCACAAGCAGAAAAAAAGGACAACAACAAAAAGAACAAGAACTTTTTGCCCATCTGGCATTATTTCACTCCTCTTGTTTTCTAACAATCTTAAGGGGATTTTGTCACCCTTCTCATCTTGTAGACTGGTACACAGAGAATCAAACCAATACTACCATAGCACAAAGCGGTAGTAAGTGACTCAGTGCAACTGTGTTAAAAAAACTGAAGTGACTGAAAATCTGCCTAAACTTTAATGCAAAAGGATGTGGTCAAGATGTCCTGTGAGCTTGACAAGTGCTCCATGCCTCAGAATGTCAAAGAAGTAGGAAGCACATTCCCAGCATTTTCTTTAATTAATTTATATATCCAGATACTTGAGATGCAGGATTGGTCACATCCCCCCCCACTTCACTTTGTAAAGAAAACAGCTCTACATTGGAGAACAATGATACAGAAACTCAATTGATTGCCAGCTTCAGCAAGGGATTTCTAGGAGTTTGGTCTATATGGACAATTTGGTCTACTTGGTCTATTGGGTTTGTTTTTAAAAGGCACCATGAAGACTTATCTGGCTAGATGCAAAGCCATTGTCAGAACTTGTTACCAAATGTGAAACAGGAGAAATACTACTGATGACCAAATTTCTGCACCACGAAGCCATCAAGTATCAGAACATTACAGTTCACAAACCTACTTAAGGGATGGAAGTATGTGTGAGAGACAGTTATTGTTAACATGACAACATGATGAACAATTTGCTCGCATCACGTTGTAAAGTTTACACTCATTCATTTGAAGCTACAATAACAAACAATAAATAGGGACAAGAAAATTTGAAGCTTTCCTAGCCTCATTTCCTCCTATATGCTATATGCATAGACAAAGTCTATTCCAAAGCAGTTCTTGTAGATGCTAAAGCTTATTCTCCAATGTTTCTCTGGAGGGGAAAGGTGCTTCTCTCAAATTATTATGTTGTATTCCCCAGATTGTTTTGTAGCTTGCTGGTGAGACATAGCTGCAGAGTGCACTCATTACCCATTAGCTGATGTTCTACCTTGTCAGTGCATCTGGGCCCACAGAGCCAAAAGCCTGCAACTAGTCACAGCTGAGTGTTCCTCATCAGAGGCTGATGAGGCTGCATTTGCCAGAAAAAAAAAAAGCTATGTTACTAGCCAGAGAGGGGAGCTACCTGAAAGCCAAGAGCAGCTTCTCATGCAATCAGCTGATCAGTTAAAAATCCACAAACAAAATCCAAAATAGGACACGTTTTAAAATCTGATTCTTTACTTTGGAAGAGTCAGTGGGATCATCTGAAGGGAACTGTTTTTCTTAACAGGACAGGCTCCCTAGGTTTTGCATGAAAGCTGCCAGAATCCTTTTTTTATCTCAGCCTTGACACAGCCTGCCTCCTGTAAAGATAATTGTATGATCAGAAATAACGTTCCTTCACTGAGCCGCTCCTTGCCTGCATGAATGTGTCCTATTCTGGTAACTTTGGCAATTATTGGAAGGCTTGAGAAGCTCCTCTTGAGAGAGGATCCCATCTCTATTTTCCCCCAGCACTACCTTGTTCTGTAAAGTCTACAGATTAGTCTCATGAGCTAGATGAAACCATAGAATCATAGAATGGTTTGGGTTGGAAAGGACATTTAAAGGTCATCTAGCCCAACCACCCTGCAAGGAGCAGGGATATCTTCAACTGGATCAGGTTGCTCAGAGCCCCATCCAACCTGTCCTTGAATGTTTCCAGGGATGGGGCATCTACCACCTCTGGGCAACCTGTTCCAGTGTTTCACCATCCTCACTGTAAAAAACTTTTTCCTTATATCTAATATCTAGTCTAAATCTATGCTCTTCTAGTTTTAAACCATTATGCCCTGTCCTATTGCAACAGGTCCTGCTAAAAAGATTCTCCCTTGTAAGTTCCCTTTAAATATTGGAAGGCTGCAATAAGGTCTCCCCAGAG